ATATAGTGTTATCCTTTGGATGAAGACAGGCCAAGTTCTATGCTACATCGGTCAACGTTTTCGTATAGATCCCATATAATAATAGTATCTTCTCATATCCTGTTTTTTAATGATTTTACCTTAGTTTCCAGCGGAATCACTTAAAATTCGTCGATTTTAATCTCAGTGTCTAACGTAATGGTTTAATCTTGGGTATTCACAGTTTATAATATGTTCTACCCTATGTGGGAAAATGTTATCGTATAGGTCCCGGATATAGCCCCCATAAAACGGTATGAACAGATATTCAATGTTCTTATGATTTTAGCCATATTTTCAAACGGAAGTATTTCGAATTTTGTATTTGTTATTCCCAAAGCTACCAGCCTCTGTAGTAGAAAATTTTCCATTATTTGGTATTAGCAACATTCTCTAAAAGAATTACTTAACATTCGATATTTGGATTCCGGCAAGGGATTTACTCATTTAGCGGGATATTTTCTAAACAGGTCAGCGTTTTTCTATAGATCCAATCTTTCCGATATTCGGTATTTTAATTATTTAAATTATATTTTTATTGGAATTGTTGGAAATTTGAATTTGTATGTTCCTAATGACAGAAGTGACGTCTTCCCCTCTTGAATTTTGGCATTTAAGGACATATTTATACCCTACAACACTATATGTTTGGGGTATTATAAGTTTGATTGGGCCAAAAATTATGTAACACCTCAAAATATTGGTTTCCCTCATAGGAAAGTAAATATGGATTTTCCTATTTCGCCGAGCTGAGTCAATCTAGCTATGTACATCCGTCCGTCTGTCCATGTTAATTTGTAATCACGCTACAGGTCCCAATTATGGCCCGATCCTCACAAAATTTTGCATGGAGGTGGGGTTATGGTCAGAACAGAAGCCTATTGCTTTTGGAGATGATCGCATAATATTTGAAATGGACCAAAAACTGAAAAATTTCCAGAATTTGCAATTATAAGTCAATCGACGCGAAAGCTAGCATGGGGCTAGAGCTCAGGGCTGGGCAGAAGCCTTCCAATTTGGATGGTCATCGGGCAATATTTAGTGGGTGAAATAGACCATAACATTTGTGTTAAATAAAAGTCATATTTCCCATTAAACTGCGAATATGTTTAATCCCGGCGAACAATAGAGCTTACGATCTTGTCACTTGGGTAAGAAAAAGTTTTTTTTTTCATTGGAGTTATTTTTAAAATAACTTCTGGGGAGAATATCCCAGAAAAAAACAATGGAACTGATTAGGATTTGTGGCTCTTTCCGAAACCTAGGTATTCCCTGCCTTATCCCCTGTAAACATTACCATCGTTTCTCTATTAATAAACAAACGTTGTTTTTATAAAAACAACAATAAAGGGATTAAGCCTGAGCATTTTGCAACAACAAAAATATATATATTCTTGATCAGCGTAAAATTCTTAGTCGATTTAGAGATTTCCGTCTATCAGTGTGTCTGTCCGTCCGTCTGTCTGTTGTAATCACGCTATCTTTCGAACGAATTGAGATAGCAGGCTAAAATTTTCACACGTGTTTATTTTGCCAGTAGGCATGTTAAGTTCGTGAATGGGTCATGTAGGCCCACGTTTCCATATAGCCCTCATATAACGGTACCTCCCGATATTCGGTATATTGATCATTTTAGCGATATTATTCACCGGAATTGTTTCGAATTTGGTATTTGAAGTTCGTAATAGATACTACATCCTAAGATGGACCATGTAGGTCCACGTCTTCGTATAGCCCCTATAGAACGGTACCTCCCGATATTGGGTATTTTGATGATTTTAGCGATATTATTCACCGGAGTAGTTTCAAATTACGTATTTAGAGTTCGTAATGGGAACTACAGTCTGTGACAGAAAATTGTCTGTGCAGGTTCATGTCTTCGTATAGGCCCCATATATCAGTACCTCCCGATATTCGGTATTTTGATGATTTTAGCAAAATTATTCACCGGAATTGTTTCGAATTTGGTATTTAAAGTTCGAAATGGATTCTACAGTCTAAGGCAGAAAATTGTCTGTGCATTTGTCTGTCTTCGTATAGCCCCCATATATCAGTACCTCCCTATATTCGGTATTTTGACGATTTTAGGTTCAATACTCAGGGAATTGTTTCAAATTTGGTATTTGAAGTTCGTAATGGATACTACAGCCTATAACAGAAAATTGTCTATACAGATCCTGGTCTTCGTATAGCTCCGATATAACGGTACCTCCTTATATACGGTAATTTGATGATTTTAGCTACATTGTTCACCGTTTATTTCAAGTTTCGAATTTGAATATGTTAACGGCTTATGACAAACAATGCCTATGTAGGTCTACGTCGTTAGACCCCAATATAACGGCTATATTCGGTATTTTAAGGATTTTAACGGATTTTTTAAGGATTTTATTTTTTGAAAACTGCTAAATTCGTTCCAAAAGGTGGAGGGTACGAACTTACCGCTATTTAATTTGTTATTACTTTAGCAGCTTTTTTCAACGGATTTTTTTTTTTTAAATTTACAAATTCCTTCCAAATGGTGGAGGGTATTCAATGTGAGGCCAGGCCAAAATTACTGCGTTTTTAACTATTTTATTTTTTTTTTTAAGTTAGGATTATTTTTTATGTAAGAATCATAACAACATGGAACTATTATCAAACATTTTTTATACCCTCCACCTTAGAAACTTAACTTCGGCATTCCGTTTGTAACATCCCTAAATATTCGTTGTAGACCCCATAAAGTATATATATTCATAATCAGCACAAAATTCTGAGTCGATTTAACGATGTCCGTCTGTCTGTTCATATGTCTGTCTGTCACGACAGAGCCCACATTATTTGAAGTAGAGCTTCAAAAATAGGTGGTATAGCCCCCATATAACGATACCTCCCGATATTCAATACTTTGATGATTTTTGCCACATTTTTCCTCGATTTTTCTAAAAATTGGTATTTGTTGTTCAAAATGGGTCCTAGACCTGTGCCAGAACATTGAATATTTAGTTCCACGTTTCCTATAGCGCACATATAACTATACCCACCGATATTCCGTATTTTTATAATCCTAGTCACATTTAACCACATAATTGTTTCAAATTTGGTATTTTAGAAGATTTGATAGATGCCAATCCTAGAAGTATAAAATTGTCTATAGAGGTACCCGTTTAGGTATAGCCCCATATCACGGCCTCACTCATTTTACGTTTTTTTTTTTTTTGTTTGACATATTAAACTGCATTATGCAAACGATCTTACTGGTATTTGAAGTTTAAAGTGAAAAACGCTTGAATTCAGATACTTTTATATAAAAATGTGTTCTTTAACCTAAGGTGGATGGTACTTAACTGGGCGAACTTAATGTTTATACCCTACACCACAAGGTGGTCAGGGTATTATGTCTTTGTGCATTTGTTTGTAACAGGCAAAAGGAAACGAGATAGACCCATAGTTCCTTTTGATGATCTGCATAGAATCACATTCTGAGTCGATTTATGTATGTCCGTCCGTCCGTCTGTCCGTCTGTCCATGTATTTTTGTAAACAAAGTACAGTTCGCATTTATTGCCCTATCCAGATGAACTCTTGCACAAATCATTTGTTTGGCCCAAGGACGAACCTTATTGAAATTGGAGATAATCGGTCAAAATTTAGATATAGCTCCCATATATATCTTCGTCCGATTTGCCTTTTATTGTGCACCAAACGTGTAATATCAGTCCGAATAGTATAGAATTTTGCACGAACGATCAGATTAGATCTCAAAATAAGTATGCCAAATTTGATCGAAATCGGTTCAGATATAGCTGTAGCTCCCATATATATTGTTCATCCGATTTGTTATTTTTGTCCTCCGCAGCCGTAATATGCACTCTGTAACAACAATATTTGGGGAAATATATCAAATACATCTCAGAAATACATTTGCTAAATTTTATCGAGATCGGTTCAGATTTGGATATAGCTCCCATATATAACTTCGTCCGATTTACTTTTTATTGTACACCAAACGTCTAATATTTGCCCAAATTAGATGAAATTTGGCACTTACGACCGAATTGAGTCTAGAAGCTAGTATGTCAAATTTGGTGAAGATCGGTTCAGATATAGCTATAGCTCCCATATATATTGTTCATCCGATTTGTCATATTTGTTTCCCACAGCCGTAATATGCACTCCGTAACAACGATATTCAAGGAAATATATCAAATACAGTTCAGAAATATCGTTGCCAAATTTTATCGAGATCGGTTCCGATTTGGATATAACTCCTATATATATCTTTATCCGATTTCAAAATAATTGTGCACTAAATGATTGAATTCTCCCATAAAAAACTTTTAATTGTTATGTGCATCTCTACTAAATTAGCAAAGTGGTGTAGGGTATCATAAAGTCGGCCCCGCCCGACTTTAAGACTTTCTTTACTGGTTTTTTACTTCTTATCGTATATGACAATATTATTACATTCCCTCAAAACCACTGTACAATTTCAAATGAGGTGTGATTTGGCCAATGGCTATAAGAAATCTGTTACAGAATATTAATTAAGCTGACAAACGAGAACTTGAACTTTCATTTTAACTTGGGCTATATGTGGGCCAAACGATTTCGTTTCATAATTACATATTTACTTCGACTGATCTTGGCCAGCAAACACAGCAAAAAGAGGCACTGCACAAAGATAATAATTGTTGATCTCCAAAAAAGCGTTTTTTTGTTTGTTTTCTTCTTAACTCTTCAACAACAAAAAATTTAAAGCCATAAACCGGAGACTGCTAATTGCCGCAGGAGCTGAAAAAAATATTTCGTTAAAAATTAAACATTTGTCTCATGGCAGCATTTAATGTTTCTAGTTAACGACAAGATTTTTACTTTCATTAGATATGTACGTTAAGAATCATGTGTGTGTTATTGTTATTGTTTTTGTGTCTAAGAGCATTTTTTTTTGAAGAAAGTTTTCTAATTTCGTTTTCATTTTGTATCTTCGTCTTTTTTCAGTTAACACTATTTTGTGGTTTAGTGGGATATGGCGCCTCGAAACCTTTGGAATCCACCAATACCAATGATGCCACCGATGCTTTGATTGAGTAAGTCTTGTTTTTGTTGTATTTTATTTCTAGTTACATATTTTGTTATGCATTTATCATTTGTCAGATAGATATCTCCTCTATCTATCATCACCACCAGTATCATCATCGCCACCGCCACCTAGCTTTAAGCATAGCTTTTTGACTAATTTTCAATGGTAATCATTTAGTGTTTGTTTTTTGATGTTTTGTTAAATCATTAATTTCTTTCTTTCTTCATGCGTATCTTTCCACCTTTCTTTCTTTCTGTCTGTCTGTCTGCCTGTCACTTTTACTATCTATTTTCTGTTTCTAGATTATTACATATTGAGATAAGAAACTGCATGTTTGTCATATGTCCGTGTGTGTGTTTGTATTTTAATTCACTAAAGAGAAATCCATGACTCACTGTCAATATGTCGCATGCATTCATAATTAGCTGAAATTGTTTATCTTTTTTATTAATTTCATGTATTTCACCGAAAAAATAAAATAAAATAGAAGTTCGAGTTATATTATGAAATATTGGAATTATGCAAATTTTTGTCGGATTATGAGAGTATATGAGGTTGATAACAATATTGTTCATTATGGGGAAAGTGCAATTCCTTGGTTTACCTGGGTTAACAAGACTATTCGAAGATATGCACAACGCAGATCATTTCTCAAATGGAAATTTGTAGATTTTCTAACACCCTATCCTCTCACTTTTCTCTCATGGAATATTTAGAAATAATCTTATAACGACTTGCAGTGTTTTTCATAGGAAAGATACAGATATTCTCTCACAAAAATATTGTAAAATGGAAAAAATATTTATAGATCCTCTCATAGAAGAGTGGCATCTATTTTTTGTAGAAGATTGATATATTTTCTCACTGAAGATCTGGAGAACATCTCATAGAAGATCCTATCCTTCTCGTAAAATATTTGTAGATCTTTTACAGAAGATCTGTAAATCTGCTCAAAGATGTTCTGAATATCTTCTATCAGAATATTCCCAGATCTTTTTACATAGGTACTGTGGATCTTCTCTTAGAAATTCTGCAGATCTTCTCACAGAATATATATGGATTTCCTCCTAGAAGAATTTCATATCTTCTTAGAGAAGATCACAGAAGATGGGCCGATCACCTCTCATATGTGTAGATCTCTCCTAGAAGATCTGTACATATCCTCACAAAAGATCTGTAGATCTTCTCTCAGATGATCTTTAGGTCTTCTCGTAGGCGTTCTCATAGAAGATCTGTAGATCTACCCATAGAAGATATTTAGATCTTCTCACTGTGGAGATGTAGATCTTCCCATAGAAGAACTGCGGATCTTCTCTTAAATGATCTATCGATCTTGTCATAGAAGCTCTATCGATCTTTTCTTATAAGATCTGTCAATCTTCTCTTGGAAGATCTATCGATCTTCTTTTGGAAGATCTATCGATCTTATCCTAGAAGCTCTATCGATCTTCTCTTAGAAGACCTATCGATCTTCTCTTAGAAGATCTATCAATCTTCTCATAAAAGATCTATAGATATTTTTATTGAAGTCCTGTAGAACTCCTCACTGAAGATCTGTAGATCTCCTCATTGAAAATCTGTAGATCGTCTCATTGAAGATCTGTAAATCTTCTCAAAAAAGATCTGTAGATCTTCCCAAAGAAGATCTGTAGATCTTCTCAAAGAAGATCTGTAAATCTTCCCAAATAAGATCTGTAGATCTTCTCAAAGAAGATACGTAGATCGCCTCATTGAAGATCTGTAGATCGTCTCATTAAAGAACTGTAGATCGTCTCATTAAAGATCTGTTTATCTTTTCATTGAAGATCTGTAGACCTTCTCGTAGATGATATGTAGTTCTTCTCGTAGAAGATATGCAGATCCTCTTATAGACGATCTGTAGATCTTGGCATAGAAGATCTGTAGATCTCTGCATAGAAGATCTGTAGATGTCCGCAAAGAAGAACTGTATATCTTCCCAAAAAAGATCTGTAGATCTTCCCAAAGAAGATTTGTAGATATTCCTAAAGAAGATCTGTAGATCTTCTCTTAGAAAATCAGTAGATCTTCTCATAGAAAATCTGTAGAACTTCTCAAAGAAGATCTGTAGAACTTCTCAAAGAAGATCTCTAGATCTTCTCAAAGAAGATCTGTCAATCTTCTTATAGAATATCTGTAGATCTTCTCATTGAAGACCATCATACCTTCCCATAGAATTTCTGCAGATCTTCTAATTGAAGATCTGTAGATTTTCTCATAGAAGATCCGTAGATCTTCTCATAGAAGATGTGTAGATCTTCTCATAGAAGATGTGTAAATCTTCTCAAAGAATATCTTTAGATCTTCTCTTAGAAGATCTCTAGATCTTTAGATCTTCCCTTAGAAGATGTCTAGATCTCGTAGAAGAGAGAGTGAAAGCAGATTTTCTCTTTATAGATCTGTAAACCTTTTGAAAGAAGATCTGTAGATTGTCTCTCGAAAGATCTGCCGATCTCATCAATCTCCTCTCAAAATATCTGTAGCTCCTCTCTCACAATATCTGTGGAAAGAAATAGACCCAAAATATCTTTAGCTCATCTTTCAGAGTATCTCTCTTAAGAAGTAATAAGACACTTTTAAAAAAAATCTGTAGGTCTTCTCACAGAAGATCCGTAGATCTTCTCTTAAAAGACATTTATATCTTCTCTCAGATAATCCGTAGATCTTATCAAGGAATATCTATAGATCTTCTCCAAGAAGATATACATATTGCAGTACATCTTCTCACCGAAGGCCTGTAGATCTTTTTATAGGTCTCCGAAAAAAAAGTGTTTTTAAGCTTAATTTATACTTCCAGGATCCTTCAAATACCGGGAAAGTTGTTTGACATTGAAAAAGAAGCAAATGTTTATATAGTTTTTAGAAAGCTTTAAAGCTTTTCGGTATAGCTTATAAGACAACCAATTAATTTTAAATATAAGAACCAAAATTTTAAACCCCCCTCCAAAATCAAGCCAAAGCCTAAAACAAAAACTTCACTTCAACATTTCGTTTGCAGAATCGAAAAGCAACGACTGATAAAATTCCCCGAAGAATTGGACGATTTGCGGCGTGTGGGTGGTCAGAATGCTAGCAAGACGGATGAGGCCAAGAGGATTTTGGAAGAAATCGAAAAAATCAATCAAGCTCTGGGTTATGTCAAGAAGTCGGATCATGCCCGCACACCGGCCATTTTGGATTCCTCTCAATATCTATTTCCTAATACTGGCTATCAACCGTTTCATGCCCAAAATCCCCAAATAACCGGAAGTCATGGTGAGACTCTGCTGTTGCCCTCCATAAGGGCGGTGAAATTCGAACACAAGGCAAGTGAATACAATAAGCCACCAGTAAGGAAAACAACTCCCAAGCCCAAAGTGGAGATTACCAAAGCCAATTTAACGAGGGTCGTTGAAAATGCCACCGCCAAGCCGACAACAAAACCCTTGACCAAACCCAATAAATTGTATTTCCATCCGCATCGCGTGGAGGTGCCCACACCACAGACGGCCGATGAAAAGAAGCTGCTGCCCACCCATTTCGTTATTCCCGTACGTCTGTACAAAAACAACAAACAACAATATGTGGAGAAACACAATCCGCAGGAATACAAAATCAAGGGTTACAAAATTGTCGGTGACATTGATCATTTCTATGGAAAAACGAAGGTGCCCTCCGCACAGGCTCAGAAAGTGAAATCTTCGCCCAAATATCATTTGTTGTTTTTGCCTCAAGAAATTATGGCCAAAAATACGGCCAATAGCATTGAAGCCATGGATGCTGCATCGAATTCCAATGAAACGACATCGAGGGAGGAAAAATTGGCAAATCGTCCATTTAAATTGCAGACCAATACCCAGGCCACGAGTAGTGGCAACTTTGTGAACTCCTCCAGTTCGGCGACGATTATAAGGAAGCGTATTAAGCCAATTAAGGGTGAGGGTCAGACAGTGTTGTCGGTGACATCGGCATCGGTCATTAAGGTTACCCCGGCACCAGGAACAGTACAACATGGCCAACAACAGCAGCAGCATCAGCAACAACAACACCAACAACAACCACAACAGCAATTGCAACAGACACAAATTGCCCAACCACCAAAACAGCAACAACAACAATACCAAAAACCCCGTCCCAACAATCAACCTCTCCCCGTGGGAACCCCCGCCTATTTGGCCAACCAACAGCCCACAGCTCCCACCGGCAGTGGTGAAAATAGCCAAGGGGTATCGAACAATGGCAACACAAACAATCAAAATTCCATGAAAAATAGACCTGCCTTCGTCAATCCCCTCCTGGGACTGCAATCCAATATCCAAAACAACATCAACAACATAAATAATGCCACCTCGAATGCGATTAAGACCGCCTTCCAGAACATATTTCGCTTCCCACTCAGACCAGATGCCAATAAGCCACAACAAGCGGCCACCGATTTTCCATTGCTGCAGAGCACAGCCTTACAGCTGCCAGTGCCCAGTCAACAGGATCAGCAGCAACAACAATTTTACTATACATTAGTGCCAGCCCCCGCCGTCAATGGCAGGCCTCCCGTTTTCATTGCCCAACCCACGTATCAAAGTGACCATTTGGACTCCGATTACAAATGGGATGATGAAAATGTCAGTACAGATTCGGATAACTCCGAAGACAAGGATTCAGCCACCTCCTCGGAAGAACCATTGGAGGAGAAATTCCTAGGACACACACCCATCAAACATATGCAGGAGACCCAGAAGGAGGCTCTCAAGCAGGGTGGCATTATCATACAAAAATTGAAGGTACGTAAAGGTGGTATTGCCATTGCTGGCCCGGGGGGTGTTGCTACTGCCGGCAGCGGAGGCACAGCCATTGTGGGTCCTGGGGGTTATGCCCTAACCCATCCACGTAGCCTAACCATTGCTGGACCTGGAACAAAAGTTATTGCCATACCAGCCAATGTCGATTTGAAAGATGCCTTGAAACGTACAAACATCAAGACGAAAATGATACCGCGTGAGGGACGTATTGTGGCCACTGGGCCCACGGTCTACTATGCTCCCGGTACCATAGATGGTGTGGAAATCGATTAGACATAGCCATTGAAATTGTTGAAGAACTTAGCTGAAATTCTTTTTTATAATTAAAATGAATCGATATAAATGTACTGTTAGCTGTAAGTTTATCTGTTTACACACATAGTATTATTTAAGTTATTTTAATTTAAAAAAATTATTATTTATACATTACATAATTACAATGAGAATGAAGAAAAAATTTCATTTCGTTTTGGAAATCGAAAAATTGAGGGTGTGTTTGAAGGCTTTAAGTTCTCTAAAAGAAAATTAAATATTTCAAATACCATAGTTTTGTTCTAAACTGCCACATCAGGTTTTGCCCACATCATGTTTCATGTAAAGCAAATTTTGTGCTTAATGGAGAAAGACAATAATTTTTTGTATAACTGCAATTTTATCGCTTAACTGTCATGGTGGTCAGAGTAATAATAATTTTTATTGTTATCTGAAAACTATTGTCTTACCTGCACCACTGGGTATTACCATAAATATGTGGCAAGCTAGGCAATTTCTCTGCTTAATGGAGAAAAGGCAATAGCGTTTTGTATAACTGCAATTTTTTCACTTAACTGTCATAGTACTGGCTGTTAATGATAACATTCATTTTTTTTTTCCTTATAAAACATATAATTGCCATTTAAAAAAATATATATTTTTAGCGAGTGTCTTTTACAACAGTAATTTGCCAGTTTTTCACTTACCTGCAACAAAATTGATTTTTAAGGAATAATAATTATTTCAACTTTACTCATTGATTACTCAACTTTTCGTGTGAATAAAGTCTTCAATAGAACTATTATTTTATCAAAATCCATAGCTTTGACTTAACTGTCAAATTTAATTTTTCAACACATTTTGTGGCGCCCAACGTGAAATTAGTGGTATTTATTGTTATTGTTAGTTGTGTAAATTTATTTTTATATGTTTTTTGTTCTATGGAGGCATTCTTGACCCTATAAAGTGTAAATATTTTTGATCAGCATAAGATTCTATGTCGATTTAGGTGCCATGTCATAATCCCCACGGACATAATCCCCATTACAATTATTAAGTTTTTTTTCGGTCATAACCCCCATAAGGGTATGAGGATTATGTCCAGGTAAAAATCGGTAATAATCCCCAGAAAGTAGCGGACATAATCACCATCATAATGGGTATGCGGATATAAACGGGTGTGCGAAAAAACTGAGATTTTCTCCTCTAGGTATGTCCGGCACCGGCTATCTCGAACCAAATTTTACTAAATTTAAACCTTTTGTAAAAAGTCGGCCTTCGGCTGGGGCTTGAAATTTTGTGCTCTGGGTATGTCCGGCACCGGCTAACGCGAACCTACCTTTTTGTAAATTTTAAACTTTTTTCTCCTCTGGGTATGTCCGGCTAACACGAACCCAAGTTTTCTAAAGTTTTAACTTTTTGTGAGTAGCCGGGCATCTGGATTTGGCTTGAGACTTCCACCTCAGGTACGTCCGACACCGGCTAACGCGAACCCAACACATTACATTTGTAACTTTTGGTAAGTAGCCGGGCTTGGGATTTTCTCCTCTGAGTGTGTTCAGCAGCGGCTAACGCGAACCAACGTTTTCGGCCTTTGACCAGACCTTAATATTTTCATCGCTTTCATGTTTACTTCCATTAATATTTTTTGTAAATAATCCCCATAGCAAACGGTCATACTCCTCATGGGGATTATGTCCGTTGTGGAAGCGAATACGGTTGGGAGTTATGTCCGAAAAAATGCGGCCATAATCGCCATAATTGCAATGAGAATTATGTCAGTGGGGACTACGTCCGGGCGCCGTCGATCTAGACATGTCCGCCCATCTACATGCTGTCTCTCCGTCTGTAGGAATTACTGTTGCTTCCGAACAAAATTATGTAGGATGATAACATTTTGTTCAGATGCATTTTAGCTCCGTAAAATTTGTTGGTATTGTAAGTGGGCTATATAGGTCCACATTTCGATATATCCCCAATAACTGTACCATCACATTCAATGTGTTTTAGTTATATTTCTGTACTGAATTTGCTGTACCTCCCAACATTATACCAAACTTGGCATATAAAGTTCGTAATGGGCAACGCCTGCTGACAGATGATTGCCTATACAAAACCGCAGTTTTGTGTATGCTCCATATAACTATAAAATTCATATTCAAATTTTGTTTTCCAATTTTAGCGAAATTTATAAACGGACTTTTTCACATTTTGCAATTTCGAAACAAATGGTAGAGGGTTTCAAATGTTCTGCCCGGCAGAGCTTAGGTGCTTTTTTATACCCTCAGCCATATGGCTACATAGGGTATATACAGGGTTGTCCATATTCGACGGACCCATGTTTTTTTGGGCCCATTCCAATCGACGAGGCTTATCCGCAGGCAACGTTCTTTGCGTCAATTGAATTTTGTACGGGAACAAATGCAAATCAATGCGAATAATCCGTTGTAAAGTGGACCGAGCCATGCCCAACTGGTGAGAACGGCGTTTTTGGGATGTTCTTGGGGACCTCTCAACACTGGCTCGTACGGCAGCGATATTCTCGGCCGATCGCCTTTGTCGACTTTTATATAGCCTCTTCGGATTTGAAAGAGCCTTACCAGTCGAAAATTTTTCGTATAAACGCTTAATGGTGTTCTTAGAAGGCGCACTTCTCACATTTTTTAATGTTTTAAAAGCACGTTGAGTTTTCACAATTGACTCCTTCTGTTGAATGTAAATTTCAACTATTTCAGAGCGCTCGCGTGGCTTGTGCTGGTTCATGGTAAAAATCTGCTTGGACTGACGCATCAAACGCGGTATGTCATTAAGCGATGTGACATCGAATATGGGTCCGTCGAATATGGGCAACCCTGTATCACTTAATACGGCCATAACGTGCCTCATCGATATAACGGTTTTAGACCCTAGGTCTCTTTGGACTAAATCCGTTTCACGACATTCGGAGACGATCTAGCGACGTCCGTCTACACACATCGTAATATTATTGTCATACATCGTAATATTATTGTGAAACTTAAATCGAGTTCAGAGGTGGGCATTATCGATCCACTCCTTCTGATACCTCCCCCGCAAAAGTTCGACATTCTCAAAAAAGAAAAAATAAATAATATTTTACTGCACAGAAAGAGAAGGAATAATCCGATTTTTATCCAACTTTGCAAATCCTAGTATTTGCATCAGTGCTACGTCACCTGCGAAAATGGACAATATCGGTTCACTCCATCAAGTACCTCCACCACAAAGGGTCAAAATTTTAAATAATTATAACACTTATAAAATGTGATATAAGAGTCCGATTGTCTTAAAATTACACTCTTCACAATATTTTTATTAACCCAAGGTTTGGTGTGCAGATGAAAAAATTGGTCCACTCCTTCTGGTAACTCCCCCACAAAGTTTCAAAATTTTGAATACCCATGAAGCTCATAAAACGCGAAATTAACATCCGATTCCATTTATTCGTGGTACATCTCAATATTTCTGTCAACACAAGATATGTTATAAATATGATAGAGATCGAACCATTTCTTCTGATACCTCCCCCACATAGGGTTCAATATTTTGAAGACCAAAACGCTCAAAGAAAGCGTAATAAGCACCCAACTCTCTTCAAATGTCACACCCAAAAAAAAAATAATATCTGGTAACCCCTTCTGGTATCACACCCACAAAAAGGGGAGGTAGGGTTAGGATCAGAATATAAGCCTATTGTTTTCGGAAATGTTCACAAAATAAAATGGACCAAAAACCAAAAAAAAAAAATCTAGATTTTGCAGTCGCCCTGCAATTCTCAACAAAGGATCAATAGACATGGATTTTTTTCTGAGGTTAAAGCTTAGGACAAACCAGAAGACTAGTATTTTGGAGGGTCATTGGATAATACTTGGCTGGCGAAAATTACCACATTTTTTTTTTTAAATCACAAAAATTTACAAATGAATCGTTCATTTCTGGCCTTGACATTGATACTGATATCGTTGTGTTCGTTGATGAATATAGCCAAAAATCTGAGATACAGGAAATCCTATAGAGGAATCAAAATTTTCAAATATGGTTTGAAAAAATCATACAGCACGAAAAAATATAAATTCAAAGCTTATTTTCAAGCATTGTTAAATTTTAACCCATAAGGCTTTCAGACACACCCTACATTTTAAGTAAATACAGAAATTATTAAAATATACAGACTGTTTTTTTCATAAATTTTAATTTACAAAATTTGTAAAGCTTTTAAGCTCTCTAAAAGTCTTATAAATTATTTGCAAAATATTACATATATTTATATTCTTAGAAATAAGACAGCAACAATCCAATACTATTGTACAATTCGACTTACCTACAAATTAAAAACAACTATTAAATAATAAGAATAAAAATTAGAATTTGAGAAGTGTTTCATTTCTTCATAAATTTTTTGTAAATAAATGTAAATAACACAAAACATTTGGGAATGTTTTACTAACATCCATTAAAACCCAAAGTTACTAAGAACCAGCTTTCGATATTATCAAATTGCTGTAAATATAAAAAATCTAATGCTTTAACTATCCCGCTTTTCCATCCTCTCCCCCACAAAAAAAAACATGGTTCGAACTACAAAAATCCTTTAACCATCCAACAACATCTGAAAATAAAAAAACACCGCCACATCAACATCCCAAAGCTGGCAATCATCATCAGTGTTTAGAATGTGGCCGTTCCAGGCTCCCACACCTTTTACTGCCTTCAGTGCTCATGGCCTCAATCTTTTGACACCAGCCCATTTGGATACCACATTCCAAAGAAGTAAATCTCAAGAAAAATTGGAAAAAGAACAACCTCCCCAACTATTTTCCTTGGGTTCACCATTACCGCAGTTGCTGCAACCCCAACAACTGGCTGCACAAACATATTTTACTTTAAATCAAGCATTCTATGATTCCCCCTTAACCCGCTATGCCTATACGACCAGTAATCAGTTTTTGCCACAGTTGCTGCAAAATCCAATAATCGAAAGTACAACTCCTGCCATAAAAACTCAGGTCAAAGAAACCGAACCTACCACCAAACAACCCAAGGCCCTACTAAAATCAAAGCCTCCGAAACTACAATTGTCTAAAGAAACGTCAAAACCAAAGGCAAAAAATGATTTCCTCAACGACAAACCATTACTGGAAGCTGTTAGAGATATCAATCCTCAATTTGTTGTGGAGGATATAATGCCGGTGCCAGGAAGGCATGTATACTCCTCAGTTACCATGGAGATGGGAGGAGGCAACAAAAAGACCCAACTCTTAACCAAAAAACTCAAAACGAAAGCGCCAACAACGAACTACAAGGTGAAGGTTGAGGCCATTGGACGAACCGCAACGACTGGCAATATACCACAAATACCATTTGGAACCTATTTTTTGCCTTATTTCTCACAAGGACAACAACAACAACAGGAAGAGAAATATTTGCAACAACAAAGAAAAGGCAAAAAACAACAAGGCAACAAGCCACCATTTAAGACAGCTTCTCTGATTTTGGAACCCCATTCCAAGGCCATTGTGGGTAATGGTGGCACCGCCATTTCAGCCCCCATTTCCCGAGCCGTACTAAAGCGTGGTGTCCCAACAAATGTGTATTTCAATCCTGAATCTGTGGCCATAGCTGGAGTTGGTGGCAAAGCGCATGCCCAAGCCGATTTGGAATTGGATCTAGTCCAATGAGTGACGCCATGTGGCAACGTAACATAGACTGATAATCCGAATTTTAGTTAAAAACAAAAAATCGCAATACGATAAAAAAGAAAGATGTAACAGCGTGGTATTGTTAATAAATTAAAAGGAATTTTTTTTAAATATTTGGTGTTAATTATTTTTAATAATTTTTTAACAAATATTTAAGACTTACTATATTTAATATTAAAATAATTTTGCAGATTTGTTTCTGTGTGTCACGAGAGTGTAAGAGACAAAAACCCAAAACAAAAAAAAAAACAAATTTTTAAATTAACTCGAAAAATTTAAGATTTGAAAATTTTATCAGAAATGGTTTTTATCTTCGCATCCACTCTCGTATCGACATACAAAAATAGAGCCTAAAAAATTTCTTCGAGACCAAAAAAAAAAATAATTAAAAATTTTCATGTCATTTATTGTATAATAATGTATAAAAGGTTGTGGATTCATGTACATATACATATATAATATAATGCAGATTTTTTATAGCTAAGATTAGCCGTTAATGGAATCATCTGAGGGACTCACAACCATTAGAGTGGGATATACACTTTCACCCAAAATAGTGTCCATCTGGCTTTCCTTGACATTAAGCTCGTCTTGAATAAGAAATAATCGAAGAAATAATAAATGTCATTATACCATGCAACACTGTTCGTTGGGGATATTATATGCTTGATTGAGCCAATAATTATGTAACACCTCGAAATATTGGTCCCCAATATAGGAAACTATATATGGATCTTCCTACCTCGCCGAGCTGAGTCGATCTAGCTATGTATGTCCGTCCGTCCGTCTGTCCACATTAATTTGTAATCACTCTAGAGGTCACAATTATGGTCCGATCCTCACGAAATTAAAAATGGAGCTTGGGTTAGGGTCAGAATAGAAGCCTATTATTTTTGGAGATGATTGCAAAATATTTCGGGGATGAAATGGGCCAAAAATAGAAAAATTTCCTGATTTTGCTGTTGCTCTATGGGGCACAATTATGAACCATTTGACATGGAATTTAACATGGAGTTAAAGTTTATGGCTGGACAGAAGCCTGCCAAATATCGAATAATATTTAGCGGATAAAATAAACCATAACTTTTATGTAAAAAATACGAAACTTTTAACTAAACTGCGAATATTTTTAATGCCGGCCAAATCACAAATACATTAAAAGGTCACTTTTGACCATAATAGTGATGCTGATAGCCATAATATAGGATATGTAGGAAAATGGAACAATGTACAGGCCATAGTTTAAATTTTATCGAATGAAAGCAAAAAAAAGTCGAAAATAGCATCAAATTTTAGAATAAGTTAAGATTTGTTTCAATTGGTCACCTTTGGCACGAATTATGGCCTTCAAACGGCCAATAAAAGCGTCACACGCTGCCCCAATGTCGCTCTGCGGTATTTTGGCCCATTCCAGGCGAAGCGCTTGCGCTTGAGGTGATCGACACTTTGGTATTTTTTAGTGCCAACCTTGCTTTCCAAAATACTCCAGATACAATAGTCCAACGGATTGGCATCCGGAGATTTTGGTGGCCACTGTGCGCTGGAAATGAAGCGAGGAAACTCATTTTGTAACCATTCTTGGGTGGCGCATGCCCGTGAGTGCGATGGTGCTGAGTTGGAATGTCCAAGGTCTATGGCTAGAATGTTTGCGTGCCCAAGGCTTTATTACACCATAATATTCGGCATTTATTCTGATGCCACGGTCGATTAATACGAGCGGAGAGCGACCATCGGCTATTATGGCGGCCCACGCCATCACCATGGCCGGCGCTTGAGTTCTGGTGGGCAACAGAAGGTGCCCATTTTTAGCTGACCCCTTTGGCAAGTAAACACGATCGATCATTTTGTTTGTTTACAAACTGCTGGACAACGAATGTTTTCTTATCCGAGAAAACCAAATTTGGCAGTTCACCACTTTCGGCCAAGCGAAGCAACTCTTTAGCTCTTTTGAGTCTATTTTCTGTCTGTGGCGTTGTAAGTTCTTGCAATTTTTGGAATTTCAATTGCCCCAATCGCATTTTTCAATATTTGCCGAATGGAATATTGCGATATGTTCAGCTTACGAGCCAATTTTCGGTCACTGCGACGCGGTTTTCGATCAAGTCGCTGCTTTACTTTTCGAAACATTTCTGCTGATGTTGCTGTTTTCTTTCGTCCACTTCTTTGACGTCGGGCTACGCTATCAGTATCACATGGTAATGAGCGATTGTACGAGACACAAAAGATTTATTCACATTTAAATGCTGGAGTGCTCTAGCGATAGCTACTGTGGTTTTCCAGCCAAATACAAGGACTATCACGCTTGAATTCCATCACGAATAACTTTTTCTGGAAAATTCTCACCAAAATTCTTTTGTACGCTTGTAAACAATGTAATGAGCTGTCACTGGAATAATTTTAACAGCTGTCGGACGAGTGGCTTAGAAATGACAGCATTCTGAATTTGGTTGCAGTTTTTTCATCGGACTTATATATCGGACTTGTATATTTTCGGCCGATTTCGTGTCTTTGATGCACCAAACACTCCATATATACGTCCAATTTGAATAACATTTGGAATATGAAACGGAATTTGATCTAAAAATTAATTTATCAAATTATATTGAAATCGGTTCAGATTTGGATATAGCTCCCATACATTTTTTTGGTGCACCAAACACGCTATGTATATAAAATTGTAATAAAATTGGGAATGTGTGACGGAATTTGGTGTAAAAATTAATTTGTCAAATTATACTGAAATCGGTTGAGGTTTGAATATAGCTTCCATATATATTTTCGGCAGATTTAATGTATTTGATGCACCACACAATCTATGTATGTCATATATCAATGATGTTTGCAATGTGTGGCGGAATTGTTCTAAGAATAAATTTTATCAATTTATATTGAAACCGGTTCAGATTTAAAAATTATTTTATTACCGCACCGGGTTCGGCTAGTCACCAATATTCGTTTTTAACATTTTGAAGATCCTTGAAAATGGTGGAGGATAATAAAAGTTCAGGCCGGCGTAACTTAACTGTTTTTTGGCTGATTTCCATAGAATCCAGTTTTGAGTCGATTTACCATTACCGTCTACCCATGTATTTTATAAACCTAATAAATGTAGCCTTTATTGTGCAGTATGAAGTTATTCACAAATTCTTTGTTTGGGTTCCAAATGTGGATATATCTTCATCCAATGTTCATTTTATTGTGGGTCATACGTGTAACATTAGTTATAATAGCATGACTTTCAGCACATCCCACGAAATTCAGTCTAGAAGCAAGTATTGGTTAATATCAGCCCAAATTGACGACCGGATTCCGAATACGAATACGACCTAGAAACAATTGTGTCAAATTTGGATCAGACACAACTATGGCTCCCCTATATATGATACATCCGATTTGGTGTTTAAGTCCCTCACATTCGCAATATTCACTCAACAACAATGATATTTGGTACCATATATCAGCTACAGCTCATAAATACCACTGCCGAATGTTACCGAGGTCGCTTCAGATTTGGATATAGCTTCTGTTCACATCAAAAGTGTAATATCTGCCACAATTGAGTGGAAACAAATTTTTTTAGAAACAAATTTTGGTTGTAAATTTAAATTTAAAATCGATTTATTGTTCCAAAGGCTCTATTTGTATATCTTTGAATCTACCACTCTTGATTGTACAGATCATTATTACCACCCCGGCAAAATATTCATCTCCTTACTAAGATTGTCCATTTTTATCATGGGCAGGTGCCAAGTTGAGGACTAATTGTTAATGATGAGATAGCAAACCCCAATTTAAGTTTTCCCATGGTGGAGGATATAAAATGTTCCGACCAGTTTGTTTTATATTTTCACTTTTCGTCAGTTCGCCTAATCAATAGTGTTAAATCTGTAAATAAGAAAATTTTCGTATTTTTTATACCCTACAACACTATGTGTTGGGGGTATTATAAGTTTGATTGGGCCAAAAATTATGTAACACCACGAAATATTAATTTCCCATATAGGAAAGTATATATGGATCTTCCTAGCTCGCCGAGCTGAGTCGATCTAGCTATGTATGTCCGTCCGTCCGTCTGTCCGTCTGTCCGTCTGTCCATGTTAATTTGTAATCACTCTACAGGTCGCAATTCTGGCCCGATCTTCACGAAATTTAGAATGGAGGTGGGGCTAGGGTCAGAATAGAACCCTATTTCTTTTGGAGATGATCGCCAAATGTTTAGGGGTTGAAATGGACCAAATACTGAAAAAATGTCGGATTTTGCAGTAGCTATACAGGTCGAAATTATAGACCAATCGACGCGGAATTTCGCATGTAGCTAGAGTTTAGGGCGGGGAAGAAGCCTACCAACTTGGGTGGTCATCGGATAATATTTAGCGGGTAAAATAGGCTATATCTTTTTTGTTGAAAAAATTCAAAATTTTTCATTAAACCACGAATATTTTAAATCCCAGCGAAATCACAAAGCCATGACAAGGCTACTTCTGATCTTTACATTGATGTTAAGATCCAAAAAATCGAATATATAGCAAATATATGCGATATATATGTCTATCAAAGAAGATATGCTTGAAAGATCTCATATATGTCGAGAACGGCTGAACTGATTTCGACAGCTCTCATTAATTTAGAATGGCCTCTTGGCAGGAAAGAAAAAACGTCTAAAAAGCGCATACAAATATCTCTCTAAAGATGAAAATATTGATTTTGTAATATTTTCTCATATTTTTTCCATTTTGTCATATTTTTGGCATATTTTCATTTTGAATTAAACATTTGGTAATATTTCTACAGCTAACAAAACTAAGTAGTTAGGATTTCAGGATATCATATACAGATCGCATTTATGGCCCGATCCTTACGAAATTTTGCATGGGGATAAGATGAGGGTCAGAATAGAAGCCTACTCTTTTTGGAGATGATCGCCATATATTTAGGGGTTAAAATGGACCAAAAAACTGCAAAATTGTCAGCAGGTCGTAATTATCGCCCGATCTTCACGCACATTTGAATTGGGGTTACAGGACATTGCAAAAGCCAAGCAGTTTTGGATGACCATCCAAAAATATTCAATGTGTAAAGGAGTTTGCCAACTTTTGTAGACAAAATACGAAAATGTCCATTCCAGTAATTTTTTGGAGAATTCACATATACAGGAAAGACGCACTTCTGACTATTTTTTTTAACGCTGATTTCGTTGAAGAATGTAGTTCTATGTCTGTATCTCATATAGATGCGTTTCAGTCAAAAACCAATAATAAATGTTAATCTTTTGCCACTTCTGAGAGATTATAGGTCTTTGGGAAATATTGGTTCCAGATCTAGGAAGACCATTTACATGAAACATCTACCAATTAATTGGAAATTACCAAATTAGTTTAAGTTGCTATTTTTCGAAAATTAGAGAACGAAATCTGATGGTTTTCTTTTATTATTTGTCAGAATATCTTGTGGATTTTTTTCGAGTATCTCGCCTATATAAACTGTATCGTTTATTATAGTGTTGTAGGGTATTCAACGGTCGGCCCCGCTCGACTGTAGCCTTTGCTTACTTGTTTTTTTTTTAATTTTGTCTTAAAAACATTACCTTCCAATTTTACTATAAATATATCTCCACTCTCATTAACATTTCTTGTAAAAATCCAATAGATCCCTTTGTAGCTGTAGATTTTCCCTGTTCCCGTTTCTGCTAAAGCTTCCCACAACTCACCTATGTATGAACGTTGTAGCCTTAGCTAGCCTTTGTTATTGTTATCGGTAATTTATGGTAACTTTTTTTGATTTAAATCACCCTCATCTCCAATACCTTTATCTACCTTGACCAACTCCCCAAATACCCCACACAATCCATGACGTCAACATCCCTCCCTTAGACACAGAAGTATTCCGAACGAAGAAGCCCTGCCCTATTATGGAGGACTAAAGGGTCAAGTTGTACACATAAAAGATGGAAGAGTTCAGAGAATTTCACTGCATGGCAAAGGAGCAACGGCTGCGACCAGTGTCGTCTCACGTCAAGGACCCACGGCAGCATTGTCCAGCAGCATCTCTGTGACGGCACATGATGATCCTGATAAGTCTTCATTTGCCGACGATTTTAATCGCATTCAATTGGCTGCTGCTCGCCTGGTGGCCATTCAAGAAATGGCCAAAAAGAAGGGTACCTTCAGTGAAGAGGATAATCGAGTGTATGCCGCCAGTCTTTTGGAATTGGGTCAGGCTGCCCAAAGTCTGGCATTGCTACAGCAAACGGGTAAAATTCAAGATTTCAGTGTTCTCCTCAAGCCATATTCCGCAGGAGTGGCTATGCCTCAGAAGACCCCCATTGCCGTTAACAGTGAGAAGAATGGCGATGATGCCGTGACCATTGAAGCACCCGTCGAGGAGCAAAAAGTGGAGGAGCAAAAAGTTGAGGAGCAAAAAGTTGATGAGGTAACGGAGCAACAGTTTAGTGAAGCGGATCTTTTGCCTGTTACACCCGAAGATCCCTATGAGGATGTGCATGATAGTGTGGCCATAGGGCCACCCAAAAAGGATGCCTCGGTGGCTGAGGCCAAGCCAGTTGGTGGGTTTACCATTTCAATAAAAACAAGAAAATGAGGAAAATAATTATTTATTCTTTCATCTTTTCCAGGTGTCTCCATTGTGGGCGAGGGTGGTGTGGCCTCCTCCAAACCCAATGCCGTGGCCCTATCGGGTCGCAACGGCTTGGCCGTCTCTGCTCCCAAGGCCACTGCCATAGCTGGTGTTAGCCCCGAAGAAGCTGCCGCCTTTAGTGTATCGGTGCCTAGTCGCAATCAATTGGTAATCAAATCATCAGCTTCCCGTCTAGCACCGTTGGATGACTCACCCTCCTATGATGACTATGATTACATCGAAACCACACCCATTAAGGCCAATACTCGTAATGTACCCCTGGTACGCTCGTCGGGCTTGTTGCGTACCGGTTCAAATAAAATGCGACCCAGGCCAATGATGGCCACCGCAAGTGCTGCCGATAGAATTGTCCAAATGTGGCGTACCGCCATTGCCGAAGATTATGCCTCGCCCAGCCGTGATGATGAGGATCGTTTGGATGACTACGACATTGAGCAGCTGTATAAGATCTCGAAAAAATTATCGAAACGTCATAGGTATTAAGTCAAACGGACCCACAATTGCCATTTACTATTATTTATAATCCCATAACAATATATATTGGATTTAAGAATTAATGAATATTTTATAATTTATAATCAAATCTCATGATATATTTATTATTAAAATAAACTTATGATTATTTATAAAATTATAGCAACAAATAAAGAGATTAACTGAAAAAAGAAATTTTAGGAAGCAAATGTCCAATTCTAAATATAACCTAATTCAATGAGTCATATTAAGTTCTCATTACCAAATAATGGGTTTTTAAGCAAATCTTAGGCCCAAGCTACAACTTTAATAACAAGCCTACTTACCCCTTATTTCAGCGTGGGCAAGTCATAGAAAGAGAGTACTCACCAATAAATGAGTTTAAAGCACTAGCGTTGAATTTGTGATTAAATTTCATCTCTCTTCATGTTTCCTTCATCTTTTGATTGGTAAAGCGTGGACCTGCATAATTTTTTGTCATAGGCTGTAGTGCCCATTACAAAAGCTTTAAATACCAAACTTGAAACAACTTCAGACTATAATGTCTCTAAAATCATAAAAATATCGAATGTTGGGAAATACCGTTATTAAGGAGCTATACGAAAATGTTGACCGACATGGACCTCTTACGAACTTAACCTGCCTACTGGCAAAATACACATGTGTGCAAAATGTTAGACTGCTATCTAAAGTATCAAATAACATTGCTGTACCTGATATGACTTCTATAAGAATTATATTAAAATTATTTATTGAAGCAGCGGACCGATGGACCGAGTTTCTCCAAAAGGAAAAATTCGGTTGAATATGAAAAAGTCTATTCAATTTGGGCATTTATGGACAATAACCGTAAAATCGAATGAGGATGTGTATTGAAGGTATATACAAATCTAAACCGTTCTCGATAAAATTTGGCAGCGATATTTTCGAGCTGTATCTGTATAAAATATCCTTCGCAAGTTAGGGACTTTAACACCAAATCGGAAGAAACATATACATGGGAGCTTTAGCCAAATTTGATGTACATGCTTCCAGACTGAATTCCGTCGGAAGTGCCAAAATTCAGACCATATGGGCTGATATTAGCCAGTTTAAAAATATATATGGGAGCAATATCCAAATCTGAACCGATTTTAATCATTTTTGTGAAGTGCATATTTAAACCCCAAATCGGATGAAACATATACAGGGTGTGATAAAAAAAACTGCCACAAAGTCAAACGCCATAATTTTTACATTTTTTTTTAATTTTATTGAATGAAAGCAATGTCAGAAATAGCATCAAATTTTAGAAAAAAAAAATTTTAGAAAATTTTAGAATAATTTCAGATTTGTTCGAATTGGTCACCTTTGGCACGAATAATGGCCTTTAAACGGCCAATGAAACCGTCACACGCTGCCCGAATGTTGCTCTGCGGTATTTTGGCCCATTCCAGGCGAAGCGCTTGCTGGAGGTGATCAAAACTTTGGTATTTTTTTAGTGCCAACCTTGATTTCCAAAATACTCCAGACACAATTATCCAACGGTTTGGTATCCGGAGATTTTTGTGGCCATTGTGCGCTGGAAATGAAGGGAGGAACGTCATTTTGTAACCATTCTTGGGTGGCGCGTGCTGAGTGCGATGGTGCTGTTGGAATGTCCAAGGTCTGCGGCCAAAATGTTTGCGTGCCCAAGGCTTTAATACACCTCCCGAAAATATTTTCGCGATAATATTCGGCATTTACTGTGATGCCACAGTCGATTAATACGAGCGGAGAGCGACCATCGGCTGTCATTGCGGCCCACACCATCACCATGGCCGGTGCTTGACTTCTGGTGGCCAACTTTGGCAAATAAAACAAACATTTTGTATGTTTACAAACTGCTGGATAACGATTGTTTTCTCATCGGAGACGGAGAAAATCAAATTCGGCAGTTCACTACTTTCGGCCAAGCGAAGCAACTCTTTGGCTCTTTTGAGTCTATTTTTTTCAGTAGTGGTGTAAGTTCTTGTACTTTTTGGAATTTCAATGGCTTTACCCCGAGCTCATTTTTCAATATTTACCCAATGGAATATTGTGATATGCTCAGCTCACGAGCCATGCGGGGTTTCTTTACTTTTCGAACCATTTCTGCTGATGTTGCTGTTTTCTTCCGTCCACTTCCTTGACGTCGGGCTACGCTACACAGTATCACGGTAACGAGCGATGGTACGAGACACAAAAGATTTGGTCACATTTAAACGCTGGAGTGCTCTGACGATAGTCACTTGTGGTTGTGGTTTTGAAATTTCAAGCGATAGAAACCAGTAAAAAGCAGTAAAAAAATTGTCCGAGGACCCTCAGAGCCATTCAATGTGGACTTTTGAAGAATTGTTTCCCTCAGGGGCATAATTCGGAAATCTTTGTAAAATATTTTTAATGACTCTCAGAATAATCTATCATAAATTCCTTAAGAATATTCTTTCATGGTCGTTTTTTTTTCATGGATATTTCCCGGATCTCCAGAAACTGATCTTGGATTTTATAAGAATACATTTTTCATTGATCCTTAAAAGCATTAATCGGACCTTTTTTCGTGCACTCTCAGAAGAATTAATTGGGATTTTTTTTTTATTGTTTGTTCATGAATCTTCCGAGACATTAATCGAGAGTTTTTATACCCTCCACCATACATAGTATTAAAGGTATATGAAGTTCGTCATTCTGTTTGTAACTCATCGAAATAATAATTTTAGATCCATCAAAGGATATATATATATTTTTTTTTTTGATCAGGGTAAAATTCTAAGACTATTTAGCCCTGTCCGTCCGTCTGTTGTAATAACGCTAGAGTCAAAATAAAGATATGAAGCTAAAATTTTGCACCGATCTGTGTTTTATCTGCAGGCAGGACAAGTTCGAAGATGGGCTATATCGGTCCACAATATCGTATATCCCCAATGTAACGGTACCCCTGATGTTCGTGAATTTCTACACAAGGAGTTCTTCGTGACTACTTTACCCCCTGAAAATGAATAGTCCCCATATAACTGTACCTCCCGACATTCGATATTTTGATGATTTTAGCCAGGTTTTTTAATGGAATTGTTTGAAATTCTTCAAAAGGAGTTCCTTCTGAGTAATTTACCTTCTGAAAAAGAATATTCAATATAGGTCGACGATATCTTATGTTCCAATACAATAGTGCCCCCGATATTCGGTATTTTGATGATTTTGGGCACACTTTTCAATGAAATTGTCTTAAAATCCACAAAAGGAGTTCCTTCTAAGTCCTTAACCCCCTGAAAGAGAATTATTTATATGGGTTCACGATATCGTATATCCCCCATATACCTGTGCCTCCCGACATTCGGTATTTTGATGATTTTAGCCACATTTTTCTAAGGAATTGTTTAAAATTCTACACAAAGATTTCTTTCTGAGTACTTTACCCGCTGGAAGAGAATTGTGTATAGGTCTACATTTTAGTATAGCACCCATATAGCGCTGACCCGACATTTTTTTCCAGAATTGCGTTAAATGTCATATTTGAAGTTCGTAATGGGTACTATAACTTATGACTGTAAGTATAGCCCCCATACAACGGTATCTCCCTTTATTCGGTATTTTGATGATATTAGCGACATTATTCACCGGAATTGCGTCAAATTTCGTATTTGAAGTTCAGAATCGATTCTGCAGCCGTTGGCTTCGTATAGCCCCCATATAAAGGTTTTCATTCATTTTTCGGCGGATTTTTTGTTGTGTCTGAAAATTTTCAAGTTCTTTCCGAATGGTGGAGGGTATAATGATTGATTTTTTACTTGCTAACCTTATTTTTTCCTGAGAGTCATTAATCGTGTTTTAAAGATGTTTTTCATGCGCCATCAGAGGCAATCGTGGATTTTTGAAGAATTTAGATGTGAATCCCTTTTTTTCATGAAGTATTAGAGGAATTAATTGTGGACTTTTTAAAAATAATTTTTCATGGACCCTTAGAAGCATTAATCGTGTATTTCTGAAGTCTATTTTTTCATGCCCTCAAAGGCTTTAATGTTGGATTTTTAAACTCCAGAAGCCGTCACTCACATACCTAACTGGAAACCATGAAAATTGTATAAAATACAACTAACCATCTATCTGCTGACGAAAAACGTTTTTCCCCCAAAGCAAGGTCAATTATAATTTTAATAGTACTAATAATCCGACATACAATTGCGGAACCCGGTTATCAGTCGAAATTCCATTCAAAACCCAAAGTAAAACATTAACTTTTTTCACATTAAAATCTTTATTGTTTTCACATTCAAACTTTCAACAAATCTCAACCGATCAAATACTCCCATCTCTGTGGCAGTTGAATTAATCTAAATTCAAAGCATACTTTTAGGGGTTTATGGACAAATCTCATTTTAAATAGAGTAATTACGAGTGGCATGGAAGAAGAGACTAAGATAATATAGTTATTAACAAAAAACCAGCTTTTACTTAAACCAAAAAAAAAATAATTGTTGCTCGTGTAGATTATAGGCTTTAATGCTGGAAAAATATGTCACCTAACCACAGACACCATGATTGCATTTATCATAGCTGGAGGAAGTTCCATAATCTAGGCATCCAGTCCATTTCAAGACATAGCAGAGTCTACGAAAAAATGTGGTCTACCACAAAAATAGAAACAATAAAATTCTATTAGAAATAGAAACTTCCATAGCAACCACATCTCATACGTACATAGGCCTTGTATTAAATTACATACAAGTATTCACTGAACAATTGATACCTGGCTTGATGATGATTATCATCCAGAGAATAATCATTATCATAATAATGATCATTGGCACAAATACAAATGTAATTTGATATATTTGAACATTGGCTATTTTTTAAAAAAAAAACAACCTCACACACATACACACAAAATAAAACAAATACCAGATTTGCAAGTTGATATTGGCCATTGATATGCCTATGCTAACATGGACAGGTTAGGAATCCAGATAAAAGACCATAAACTTGAATTGATATGCTTGGACATGCAACAAAAAAAAAGAAGAAAAGCGACAAAGGAATCGATCCTGTTTTCGTCGACTTATTTCAGTAGCTACATGGCATGCATAGGTTTATCTAGGAGAGAGTTGCCACATGCGTGACAAATGCAATCGCGATCATAACATGACGGTATAATGGCATGAGACAAAATTTTAATTATTCACACCAACTTTTTAGAGGATGCCAAGACAATTTAAACCTGCTTGCTCATCCGGTATCATCTAAAGCTAGTCATAATTTTTAAATATTGAAGTTTAGTGAATTTTATGCTCCTAAGAAAGCCTACTTTTCGTATGTTTAGGGATTTTTTTAAATTCTGTACAAAATAAAATTTAAAAATAAAAAAAACTTTTACTTTCCTATTTATGTAGTCTGATTCTATCAGACAATGGTTATTCTGGACGTCTAAATACCTAGAGTGTCAAACTGTTTGTAGTTGATGTTCATGTTGTTAATGACTGTGGAACTGAAGTCCTGATGTTAACGCTTAGACCACATATTTCTCAACAATGAAACCCCACTAACAGCTCTTCTAAATCTAGAATCTCTACGGAGGGTACTTAATTTATGATGCTGTCCCAAAAGTTATTCTAGCTATAGGACAACATTAGAAGAAAACATGTCCCATAAAAGTTAATTTATCTATAATAATTATTTATAATGTTTATATATGTTATATGTGACCTAAAAAGGGTTAAGGTTCCGTGTTTTGCCATTTATAGAAGGTCAACATAAACTCATAATTTTTCAGAAGAATTTGGAAAGATCCTGCAACTTTCCTTTTTCCTTTTAAATTTCGAAAGGTTTTTGTCTTTGAAAAGGAATGTGTCTCCTGTCTGTAGAGTCCACAAAAAATATCCAAATATAAAAAATCTGCAGATATACGGCCTTTGAAAGGGTCATTATCCATTTTTTTCAAATTTTCTATTTACAGAAGATCTTCAAAAGATCTCTATTTTAACATAGAAATAATTTTGTGCCTAGAATACCTTACGAAACTTTTCTATATTTGGGAGGTACAGACAATGTTTATATGATTTAAATACTTCAAATACAATAAAAGGTTCCATCTACAAGAGATCACAATCACATATAGACAAAAGACAATAAAGACGAGACAAGAAAAATTTGAATTCGTGCAAAATACTTGTCAAAACCGTCAAAAAGCTTCTGTCTTAAGGTATCCTATGGAAGGACTATCCTTAAAAGGACTTAAATTCGCAGAAGACCTTTTAAGGGTAGTCCTTCCATAGCATACCTTAAGACAAAAGCTTTTTGGCGGTTTTGAGAAGTATTTTGCACGAATTCAAATTTTTTTTGTCTGGTCTTTATTGTCTTAAAATGTCTTATTCGGATAAGAGCCACACAAGATTTTTTTTTTTTTATGGATAGTAGATCTTCAAAAGGTTTTCTATGGAAAGACGATTCTCATAAGGTCTTCCATGGATAAATTGAATACCCTCAATATATTTTCTTGGGAAATAAGACCCACAAAAGTACGCAGAAAAGGGTTTCGGTGAATAGACGACAACAAAAGGGCTTTTGTTGAAAGAAGATCTTCAAAAAGTTTATTTTGGGTAGAAGAAGGTAGAAGACGTATTATATGGATAGAGGAGCCTCACTCATTTGGCTCCTCACATTGATTGAAAATCTTAAAAATACCTTTTATATACGAGTATAAAAGAATCTCAAAAGGTTCTCCACGGGTAGAGGATAGAAGATCCTCAAACCTGTTTGTCCAAACCTGTCCAAGGATGGAATATTCTTATGAGGACTTCTTCGAAAAGGAGACCCTCAAAAGATCTGCTTTGGATAGAATTCACTGAAAATGAATTTAAGATTTAAAGATTTTTAAAATGTCCTCAGAAGATCTTCTATAGAACTTTAGGGAACACTTACGAGGTTTTCCGACATTTCCAAAAAATCCGTTAATAATTTCAAATTGTTGGGCGAGTGGGCTAATGTGTTACTCTTTCCCGCAAAATGTAGAAACATAAGCAAAGATAGAAACCGACCCTTTTTATGAGCGTGTTGGGTATAATCGCTTGATACGGTCAAAATCTGCCTCATTGAGGTAACGGTTTTAGACCCTAGGTCTCTTTGAACCAGATCCCTTTCACGACATTTGGACTCGATGTGTCTCCCCGTTTGCCTGTTAAGGTGGTGGGGCACACGATAATTCTCGAAAGGAGTATCCGATTTGGTCCAAACTTGGTACATCGTAATATTATTATCAAACTTAGATCGGGCTCGGAGATGAGCAATATCGGTCCACTCCTTCCGATTTGGTCCAAACTTGGTACATCGTAATATTATTATCAAACTTAGATCGGGCTCGGAGATGAGCAATATCGGTCCACTACGTCTGGTACCTCCACCACAAAAGGTCGAAATTTTCAAAAAAATATATATATTTTTCTGCATAGAAATAGAAAGAATAATCCGATTTTGCTCCAATTTTGCAAATCCAAATATCTGCACCAGTGCTGGGTCAGGTGCGAAAATGGAAAATATCGGTCCACTACATCAAAGGTCAAAATTTTTAATAACTTTAACTCTTATAGAATCTGATGTAGAACTCCGATTGTCTTCAATTTACATACTTCGCTTTATTTTTATTAACCGAAGGTCTGGTGTGAAGATGGAATATTTCGGTCCACACTTTCTGGTACTTCCAAATGGTAAAATTTTTGAACAATAAAGGGTCACAATTTTCAATACTTTTATCTGTCATAACTTGCCAAAAAAAAGTCAGCGATTATTTACAACTTGCTATCTCTAAATATTTCTCTCCGGCAGAAAACTGAGATGAATATGGAATTTATGATTTCGTATAAAATTGGATATAAGTGTTCGATTTTCTTGTAATTTTTCCCATACCAAAATTTTTATCTGTATTAGATGGAGTATGAAAATGGAATACTTCGGTCGACTATATGTGGCACCTCACGCACTTTTTAACATTTTCTAAAAATGATCATATATCTCATATAAAATAAAGGAAGTGGTCGATATAGTTCAAAGGTGACACGTCACAATATTTATATCATATTTATTTAGGTCCTACACGAAATGGACAGTATTGGTCCAATCCTACGGAACCTACTCCATAGAGGGTCAACAATTTGAATAATCATAACAGATGTCAAAATATATTTAAATAATCGAACATTGGCTGAAGGTATACATCTGTCGCAAAACCGACTCATACTTTTTAACTTTATATATATTATGGTGGAGGGTATAAAAATTAACTTTTTTACGACTAAAAAAACTGGCAACCCTGATTTCGGCAAAAGCAAGAAGCACGGAAACCCATCAAACCTCACACATTGTCCATCCCAACAATCAAAGACGAAAGACCATTCATGGTCAAGACCGGAAAAATTCTAGTTTTATATCCCCCCTTCTTCCCTCATCCCTCCCCCTCCAACAGAAAAGGTTAATGCTACCATTCTTTCATTTGATTTGGTCTTTATTCTTGTACCTGATATTCCATACCTTCATAGCATCGGTCTTACATGGCGAAACCAAAACAAAGAAGAAGAAACCAAACAATACAAAAATAATCAAAAGCTGGAATTACCTGTAATTGATGCTGGTCTACGTGGAGTTGCATAGCTGGAGCCTAGGTGAATTGGTGAAAATAACTCTTTTTCCTTTTACTTGTTTTTCTTGATTCTGGATAGAATGCCGCCTATAAATTGCATAGTTTCTTATTACATAAGGTGTTGCGGATGGTTGTTGCAGATGTTGTTGTTTTTAGTGTCTTCCTTTGGTTTCTTGTTTTGTTCCAGCCATTCTATTATCAATTTGCAAATGGAGACTTGCAATAATTGGCAGGTTCTGGGGATGCCACTGCACAAACTTGGCGATCTATAAAAAGGTCTGCGACCAAAGCCCATGGCCTACAGTTTCCTCTCAACTGTGTGCCAAGTGAGGAGTTCGTAAGCGTTTTTGCTGCAGAAAAAAAGTGAAAGAAAACAAGTGAGGAAAACTTAATTCTAAAAAAAAGTGATAAACCTACAGTTGGAAAAGAGACCGAGAGATATTGGAAATTATCGAAGAAGACTGATTTATAAAATAAACAATTTCATTTAAGGTAAGTTGTATTATTATTTTTTTAAATTTTTGCTGATTTAAAAAGTGTTTTGAATATACAGTTGTCTGGTGCGAAAAAGAATTATTTGAAAACAAGTTTGTGTCTTAAGTCTTTTGTTTAAACAATTGGCATCATTAATTTGGAGCGTGTTTTATGTCACTTATTTAATTGGAAATCATTTGTATAACCAGATGCTTTTCTGGAATTGGCAAATACACCTTTGATTTGAGATTTCAATATGTTCAATATGCCATTAAGGAACACCTGAGAAATAAAAAACTTCAAATGGTCAAATAAATCAAACTTATCTTATCTACGCTGCATCGCGGTGGAAATATTTACTTTAGTTCTTCCAACAAACAAAACAGGCAAAGATTTTAAGAATTTTTGAAAATTATTAAACGGGGATTGTACCAACAATTTTAATTTAGCAAATAAATATTTATGCAGGTGGCACATCGTAGGCAATAGTAAATTCCTCCACAGAAGAGAGATTATATGATATGAATAGAATTTCCAATGCAATTTTCAATTTTCAATATTCTGACTGTAACAATATCACTACGCTTTCAAGGATTTACACAAAATACAGCCCAATATATATATAAACTCCTTGTAAGGTCCTCTCCTTCTTGTACCAATCCCACAATTTTTCGCAAAAAAATCGAAAAAAATGTTCGGTGCTATGCACATCCCAATATTTTAATCAGTATTAAATGATGTGAAATACTTTCGCTCTTTAACTCAGAAACTCTTTTGTATCCCCAAATGATCCTACCTGCTATTACTGACTCAACGGCCGACCTGTGTTGTTTCCTGGATCACAGCCTGGGAGGGCCGATATATTTCATTTTCAACACCAAACATCCTACTACTAATATCGACCGTGGCATCATAGTAGCCCAATATATATAAACTCCTCGTAAGGCCCTAAAAACTAGTGCGACCGAGGGGACCTATTTCTTGACTTAATCTGAATCTGAAGCAAATACATTTTGACACTTTATATGAAATATGTGATAATTTTTAGAAATAGTCGACCGAAGTATAGCATATTCATACTTCACCTAATACAGATAAAAATATTGGTATTAGCAAAATTTCAAGAAAATCGAACATATAAGCAGCGTGAGAAAAAAAAACTGCAACAAAGTCAAACGCCATAATTTTTCAATTTTTTTTAATATTATCGAATTAAAGCAAAAAAAATTGGAAATAGCATCAAATTTTAGATTTGTTCGAATTGGTCATCTCTTGCACGAATTATGGCTTTCAAACCCGAATGTTGCTCTGCGGTATTTTATCCCATTCCCGGCGAAGCGCTTGCTTGAGGCGATCGACACTTTGGTATTTTTAGTGCCAACCTTGCTTTCCAAAATACTCCAGACACAATAGTCCAACGGATTTGTATCCGGAAATTTTGGTGACCATTGTGAGCTGGAAATGAAGCGAGGAACCTCATTTTTTACATTTTCTTTTTCAATTTTATTGAATGAAATGTCGGAAAAACATCAAATTTTAGAATAAGTTTAGATTTGTTGGAATTAGTCACCTTCGGCTCGAATTATGCCCTTCAAACGGCCAATGAAACTGTCACACGCTGCCCAAATGTTGTTCTGCGGTATTTGGTCCTTTCCCGGTGAAGCGCTGGCTTTAGGTGATCGACACTTTGGTATTTTTTAGTGGCAACCTTGCTTTCCAAAATACTCCAGACACAATAGTCCAAGGGATTGGTATCTGGAGTTTTTGGTGGCCATTGTGCGCTGAAAATTAAACGAGGAACCACATTTTGTAATCACTCTTGGTTGGCGCGTGCTGAGTCCTGTTGGAATGTCCAAAATCTGCGGCCAAAATGTTTGCGTGTCCAAGGCTCAACTACACCCTCCACAATATTTTCACGATGATATTCGACAATTATTCTGATACCACTGTCGATTAATACGAGCGGAGAGCGACCATTGGCTATTATGGCGGCCCACACCATTACACATGGCCGGCGCTTGAGTTCTGCTGGCCAACCGAAGGTGAACATTTTCATCTGACCTCTTTGGCAAGTAAACACGATCATTTGTTTTGTCTACAAACTGTTGGACAACGAATGTTGGACAACGAAAATTCGGCAGTTCTCCACTTTCGGCCAAGCGAAGCAACTCTTTAGCTCTTTTGAGTTTATTTTCTTTCCGTTGCGGTGTAAGTTCTTGAACTTTTTTGGAATTTTGTGATATGTTCAGCTCACGAGCCATTTTTCACTGCGACGCGCGTTTCGGTCAATTCGCTTCTTTACTTTTCGAACCATTTCTGCTGATGTGGCTGTTTTCTTCCGTTCACAGTTTTTTCATCTCACCCTGCATTTAGTACATTTCGTACAATTATAGTACCCATTTCTCAATTACAGATACTAACAAAGAGCTCAATATGAGGATTCTAGTCCTATCCCTTTACCCAATAGCAAATTTGGGACCATTTTGTACTATTCGTACGTTAAAAGTACACATTATCAACACCATCTCCATGTCAATCAATCCCAGACACCAAGAAAGACTTAAATATCAAATTTCCGGATTTCAGCTCGATTCCTTCGCCCAACACCAAATTTAGTACTATTTAGTACATTCCGTACAATTATGGTACACATTTCCAAAAACCACCTCCGATCTATCTCAGATACCAACAGTGACTTAAATATCAAATTTCAGGATTCCAGCCCTATCCCTTCACCCAATACCAAATTTAATACAATTTAGTACTTTTCGTACAAAAACACGACACATTTCCCAACCACCCACGAATCCAAAACACAGATACCATCAGTAATCTAAATACCAAATTTAAGAATTTTATTTCTACACTTTCAACTAAAACCAAAATTAGTACCATTTAGTACTTTTCGTAAAATTATAGAACACATCTCCCAGGCTACACTTGAACAGAGACCCAATTACTAAATTTCTGTTTTAAAGCACTATATGTTTACCCAATACCAAATTGTACCAAATATAGCATAATTTAGTACTTTTCGAGCACATGTAGTACACATCTCCAAAATCATCTCCTTATCACAAACTACACTACAATGTAAACTTTCAACATTCAATGTAAAATTTCAACATTCCAGCTTTATCCGTTCACCATAAGCCAAAGAGAATTTGTTACCATTTAGTACAGCTCGCAGACACCTTCATATATCAAACTTACTTTCCAACCTTAATTCTCATTCCAAAATTCAAGTTATTAGTGCTATCCATTCCTATAATACTAAATGGAACAATTTTCAAAGTTTAGTACCATTTTAGAACTTTTCGTAACCTTAACCTTAACCAATGGCTCTCATTCCGAATTTCAGAATTTTAACGCATTCCATTTGTTACATAGAAAATATTCTATTTTCAGTACATTTTAGTACTTTTTGTGCCCTTATCATTCGCCTATACACCAAAATTCACACTCGTGCAAAATTTCATGACTCTAGCTTCAGCCGTTCAGTATCATACGTTTATGGGATCCAAATCCAACAAATCCAACATAAACATTTGTACACCTCAAAACAAAAGACTTAAGACACAAACCTGAATTCTCATTCGCATGCCTCTGCTTCTCTCTATTCGCCATTTTTTATCTCTTTATAGATGCTCAAATATTTATTGCTGAGCTTGCTGCTCATCATCCACAGCGTATGGATGGCACCGGTCCACCACCATGGTGAACTGACGCCACACGTTGTTATTGTCACGCCCCAAGCCCAATTGCAATTGGAGTCATTTCCACATGGCGCTCCCATCATTCAACATCTAACACCCTACACTCGGTTTGTGGCACCACATGAAGAGACCATTGTCTATGTGCCGACCAGTGCTATTGCCAATCACCCGGTTGGTCACATTGCCCTACCCGGCTCACAACAATACGAGGCACGTTCAAGTGGAAAAAATATCATTACCGACATTGTTTCCTTACCCAGCGAAGCCGTGGACAATTTTGGCGCAGTCGGATCAATAAGTCCAAGTAGAATTATCAGCTCCACCATTGCTGGTGCAGCTGCTCTGCCTGGGCAAATATTTGATGCTGTCAGCAGTCCGGCTAAAATTATCGGCAGCATTGCCAGTCCAATACCTCTGCAAATAATTGATGCAACCAAACTGGGTCCTCCCACGCGACAATCCATTTTCGACAACATCTCCAATGCAGTTCAAAATCCAAATCAAGTTATAGAAACAATTACCAATGCCGCCAACAATCCCAGCAGCCTATTAGAAACCGTATCGAATAGCATTCAAAACGCTGTAACAAACGCGGTCCAGAACAGTCCTTGTGAATCGCTCAATAGTATAGCGCAAAATACGGGCTTTCAACCGACGCCCAATCAACAACAGGCTGCCAGCAATGCGCGCAGCATTGACAAGGCAGAAACTCAAGCCGAAGGCCAGAACCAAGATCAAAAGGCAGCTGCATCCCAGCCCCAGTTGACAAAGGTGCAACACATCGAGTACGAAATCCCCATAACACCCATCATTTCCCATGAGCCCCGACATCAGTTGCCGCACTATGCCAGTGTTATTGGACCAGCTCTGCCACATGTTGTCGATTTTATTCAAACACCGATTTTCTTGGCCCCCTCCATACCCACAATTAAGGGACGTAGCCTTTTGGCCGCTGAAGAGAAACCCCTAAGCCAGGAGCCGGCACCAGCACAAGCAATTGAATCCGCTAAACCAGAAGTTCAACTTCCCCTGGCACCGCAACCGGAACATCTTCCCCTGAATCCAGAGCTGGATAAGTTGCAACCCATAGCCAAGGGAGAGGAAAAGTTAGAAAGTGGTCGCTTTTTGGAAGCCACTCCCGTCAAAGATGTTCAAGCTGTTGTAGTTGCTGAGGAAGCTGTCAAGCCGGGTGAGTACAATGAAATGGAATTGGAGAGAGAGAGAGAGAGAGAGAAAATATCTAAAGAGGTAATTGGGACGGGCTATCAGGAGTACATTGATGGGGAAATTTTGTCATTGTGGGACTTTTTATGGGAAGTTTTGTCAGCCGTAATGGGATTTTTTTAGGAAAATTTGCCCGCCTCCTTGCGGGAATTTTTGTGGGATAATTTGCCAATCCTTAGAAGGAGTTTTTAGGGACATTTTTTCAGACCATTGAAGGACATTTTAGGGGTAATGTTATCAGTGGATATTTTATCAGGCGGTCTTAGCGGTACTTTTTATGGTAAATTTCGAAGCCCAGTGTAAGATATTTTGTCAGTCAATAGTGGGACTTTTATTTGACATTTTTTCTGCACATAGAGGGACTTTTTACAGAATATTTTGTAAGAAATTATAAAAAATTATATCAGCCAGTAGTAGGGCTCTTCATGGGAAATTTTGTCAACCCATTGCGGAACGTTTTGAGGTCGGGTCATTTTTTTGAGAAATTATGACTAATGGAAAATCTCCAAACCATTAATGGGACTTTTAATGGGAAATGTTGGCATTCAATAGTGGATTTTTTATAGGATTTATCAATCATTAGCAGGATTTTTATGGGCCAACATAGTGGTACTTTTTACGGCAAATTTTGACAACGAATGGTGGCAAAGGTTGGTAGGCAAATTTTGGAAATTTTGCTTGTGTAAATTTATTTGAAGTCGGAAAGGAAAAATTTGACAAATAATAGTGTTTACGTTGAGAGAACATTTTGCCAGTCCATAGTCCACTATTCCATCGAGGAGCATTTTTGCACTTCAAAACAAAAGACTTAAGACACGAACCTGATTTTTGATTCACATGCTTTTGCTTCTCTACATTCGATATGTCTCATCTCTTTTCAAATTTTTTGGGGGAATATTTGTCAAAAATCATAGATCTTCGTCAATCTCTTTCAAGAAAATATTGTCTTTTTGGGAGAAGTATTCTCAAAGGAATTTAGTATTGATAACAAGGAGAGTTTGTGTGAGGTCGTTTAGGGGAAATTTTCTTAAGAATTTGTTTATGTATTTTGGGTAAATTTTGGGCAGATGATGGTGGATCTTTTTAGATGAAATTTTGTCAAAAAGTCGTGAATCGTTATAAGCGAATATTTATCAAGAAATATTCGATTTTTTCAAAGGGATTTTTTTAATCTATTGGATATTTTTAAGGGAGTATTTTGTCAAGAAGTCGCGTATCTTTTTTGGGTGAATTTAATAAAAACGAGTGCCTCTTTTCGGTTTTCAATAAATCGTGTATCTTTTTGGGGGCAATTTTATGAGGGAATTTATCTAAATAATCTTGGATCTTTTTAGAAAGATTTTTCTACACAATGTTTTAAGGTGAAATTTTCCTAAAAAATTTTGGATCTTTAAAGGGAATTATTATGGATAATCTTTGGGTTTTTTAGAAGACTTTTTTCATGAGTTTTTTATGGGTATATCTGAAAAGAAAAATTTCCCAGACAATCATCTTCATGTGGAAAATTCATGAAATGATTATAATTTTTTTAGGAAAAATTTCTAAAAAACTAAAATATTTTTAAAAGTTATTTCAATTTTTTTTTCTTTACTAAGCAATTGATGATCTTTTAAGGTGGACATTTTCTAGATAATCGTTGATCTTTTTATGGGAAATATTGTGTAGCGATGGTGGACCTTTAAAGAAGAAATTTCGACAAGGAATCTTTGATCCTCTGAGGGGCAATTTTCTCAAGGAACCCTTGATCTGTTGGGGAAAATTGAGCCGAAGCAATCGTGGAACATCCTATGGGAAATTTACAAAAGCCCCAAAAGCGGTGGATCGTTTTGGTTTAGAATCATTTTCCATGGCTTAGGATCATTCTCCATGGCTTGATTTTTGAGAGCAATTTTCCCAATCGATAGGAGACCTTTTCAGGGGAAAAAATTGTTGAAAAAATCGTGGAAATTCAAGTCTAGAAGTTGTTGATTTTTTTTTTTTGTAAAAATGTGAAAAATAATTGGGATCCTACATGGAAAATGTTCCAAATATTTTTATGAGAGGCAGTGGTGTGTCCTTTAAGAAGAAATTAAGAGGAAATTTTCGGGAGGCAGTAGTAGACATTAAATATGAAATTTTAGAAGACAATCATGAATCCTTGTCAAGGCATTGTTCTAGATGACATTTTTTCAAGTAATCATGTAGATTTTTTAGAGGCATTATTCCGAGAATTTTTGGAATAAAAATTTCTAGAAATTTCAGTGGAAAATCTCCAACATATTTGTGGGTGTTTTAAACTTTAAAGATAATCAGAAATTTTATGAGGAAAATAATCTTGCCAATAGACGAATAAAGGAAAAATTCTCCAACAATCTTAAGTTGTATTTCGAAATTTTTCGAATAGGAAGTGCATCTTTTAAAATAAATTGTTCTTGGGGAATTTTTTCAAGTTATAATATATTTTCTTACAAATTACTGCAGATTTTTAGAGGATATTTCTAAAGACAATCTTGAATCTTTTTAAAGAACTACTTTTTCTATAATTTTTAAGAGAAATGTTGTTTGAGAATCGTTTGATTTTTCAGAGAAAATTTCCTTATAAGAGGACATACTCTAAAGATAATCAGAAATCTTATCGGAAAAATAATATTGAATATAATATTTTTGTCAAGCCATCGTATATGTATTTAGATGAAATTCTGACAGGATATCACGGAGATGTTTAGGGGACATTTTACCAAGCCATCGTGGGAAGATTTTCTCAAGTTACAGAGGACATTTTTGGAGAAAAGTTTATAAAGAAATCCTGGATCTTGAGGGAATTGGATGAATTAATCATGGGTTAATTTCTAGTTATCTTTTTCGAAGTATCTCCTGCTTTTTTTAGAGGAAATCCTGCATATTTATTAGATAAATCTTCCCTATTCCCATCCTAAATATTTTATAAGTTGTTTTGGGCAATTAAGGATTTTTTAGAGCAATTATTGCTATTATTATTTTTATTTATTTATTTATTTTAGACAATCTGGTCTGGTAATAGATCGACTTTTTATAGGAAACTTCTCAAAACCTGGTAAATATTTTGAAGAAATTTTCGGTAGGACTTATATATGGGAATCTTTTTAAAAAATTGTTGATCTTCTACATGAAATCCTGGACTTTTTAGAGATCCAGGCTCTCATGGATCTTATTAGAGAAAAATCTTACCAAATATCTTGATATTTTTATAGAATTGTTTTGCATTACGATTTTTTACAGCAATAATCGGAAAAGAGGTGGATACTGTGCGCATGCGTGACGCGTTACATTAACTGATTTAATGTTAAACCGTTATAGCTGGCAAAGAGTTGGAGAGATTGAAAGAGAGAGAGATAGAGCGCGAGAGATGGCAGAAAATTGGGAGAAATCAGTGTTGACAACTTGGCGGATAGTCTGCAACAGGAAAATGAGAAGAAGCTGTAATCTATAAAATCAGTATATCCTACTCAAATCTGTCACTTGTCATTTTCAACCCAGTAAACAAACTATCTCCTGCACAAAAGTTGAGAAAATCATCTAAGTTCGGTCGCGTCGATCTTTTAATACCTTCCACCATTTGGAATTTTTTTTTTTAGTAGACAATCTGGTCTGGTAATAGACCGACTTTTTATAGGAAACTTCTCAAAACCTGGTAAATGTTTTGAGGAAATTTTCGGTAGGACTTATATATGGGAGTCTTTTTAAAAAATTGTTGATCTTCTACATGAAATCCTGGACTTTTTAGAGATCCAGGCTCTCATGGATCTTATTAGAGAAAAATCTTACCAAACATCTTGATATTTTTATAGAATTGTTTTGCATTACGATTTTTTACAGCAATAATCGGAAAACAGGTGGATATTTTTTGCAGGCTTTTTAATAGCAATTTTTACACAAAATCGAGGACCATTGTCTAAAAATTTAAAAAAGTGAATTTTTAAATCAATTTTTATCAAGCAGTCTTAGGTTTTTTTAACCTACACCATTTGCATTTGTTTGTAACAGGCAAAAGGATGATCTGTATAGAATCACATTCTGAGTCGATTTATGCATGTCCGTCTGTCTGTTCATGTATTTTTGTGAACAAAGTACAGTTCGCATTTATTACCCGATCCAGCTGAATTTTTGCCCAAATCATTTGTTTGACCCAACGACGAACCCTATTGAAATTGGAGATAATCTGTAAAAATTTGGATATAGCTCCCATATATATCTCCGGCCGATTTGCCTTTTATTGTGCACCAAACGTGTAATATCAGCCCGAATAGTATGGAATGCACATACAAGCAAATTAGGCTTGAAAATAAGTATGCCAAATTTGATCGAAATTGGATCAGATATAGCTATAGCTCCAATATATATTGTTCATCCGGTTTGTTATTTTAGTCCTCCGCAGCCGTAATATGCACTCTGTAACAACAATATTTGGGGAAATATATCAAATACAGCTCAGAAATACCTTTGCTAAATTTTATCGAGATCGGTTCGGATTTGGATATATCTCCCATATATATCTTCGTCCGGTTTACCTTTTATTGTGCACCAAACGTCTAATATTTGCCCAAATGGGATGAAATTTGGCACTTACGACCAAATTGAGTCTGTAAGCTAGTATATCAAATTTGGTGCAGATCGGTTCAGATATAGCTATAGCTCCGATGTATATTGTTCATTCGATTTGTTATATTTGTTACCCACCGCCGTAGTGGTTTAGATCATTTTTTGTATGACAATAGTACCTTTATCCCTTTTTGGAGAAAAAAATTTCCAACAATAATCTTTTAATTCCTTCCATTTACAGTCGATCAAATTGTTGCAGTTAAACCTGTCCTAAAATCTGTTGCCAACGATGAGCCGCAATCTAAGGTGGCCTAATCATCATCAGATATTTTAAGTACAACAACACTATGGGCCAACAAATACAATTTTCACAAAAAAAAAAAACGAAGGAAACTCACCACCATCAATGAACTAAAAATAAGTTTTATAATAGTTATACAACAAAGCATAACAATGATTATTGTAAGATGTCCTTAGAAACAACAAAAACAACAATCAATCATATTTTCATGCATATACACACATACATATTTATCATCACCATCATAAATTTCATTAAAAAAAAAACAAACAAAAACAAGGAAAACGTAAAATCAAAATAAAAATGCAAAGCGATAAGCACAAAGCACAACAGAATAAAGAAAGAAAAAATAATTAAAAAAAAAATAAGTTTTTTATTAAATTTTATTTTCAGAAGGAAATTTCCCAGACCATCTTCAAAAGTTAATTTTCAATGGTGTTCTAAAACGATGGCAGTTGTACAATGAATGGGGGGTATTCATGAGATTCAAAAATACTTCAATCCCCTTGCAATTCTGGAGTATCACACGTTCCTCCCCGGTTGCAAAAGAAGCATCTGCTCCAAATGCCATCCTCCCGCCCCCCCCCCCTTCTATTTACTCATTGATATGCCCGCAACGTCTGATATCGTTGTTGCCAAAAAAAATGGGCGTTTAACATTTTGCAGATATCGCATTATGTCGATGTTAATAAATTACCTTAATAACAAATAAATCTTTTGTATGGCACCATAACACGCTACTCGGATATGAATGTATGATGTGTTTGCACTCAAAACAATTTCGGTTTTAGCAGATGAAAAAAATGTGTAAAACCAAAAAAAAGAGTAAATATTTCCAAATAAGAAAAAAAGTAAACAATCAAGCGGAACAATAAACGTACACACAACAAATAGCGATGGTAGTGCACAAATTTAAATGACACTGTGCGCATGCGTGACGCGTTACATTAACTCATTTAATGTTAAACCGTTATAGCTGGCAAAGAGTTGGAGAGATAGAGAGATTGAGAGAGAGCGAGAGATGGCAGAAAATTTGGAGAAATCAGTGTTGACAACTAGGTGGATTGTATGCAACTGGAAAATGAGAAAAAGCTGTAATCCATAAAATCAGTATATCCTACTCAAATCTGTCACTTGTCATTTTCAACCCAGTAAACAAACTATCTTCTGCACAAAAGTGAAGAAAATCATCTAAGTTCGGTTCGGTTCGGTTCGGTTCCACCATTTGGAAGAAAATTTAAAATGTAAAAAAATTCCATTGAAAAATTCCGCTCTAATTTTAATAATTCCGAATATCAGGAGTTAAATTTATGTAGCCCCATATAAACGAAAACCTGACCTTTACAGCCAATACAAGGTGGTGCCTCCAAACACTAAATTTAAGATAAATATGTTGAAATAATTATGCTAAAATTATCAAAATACCGAATATTGGGATATACCACTTTATGGGTTCTTCGGAAAGCATAGCTAATGTTACAAGTGCGTTTCCCAAATAAGGGCCGAAATTAAGGAATGGCAACAGTACACCAGTGGTATCCAAGGACGAGCTGGATGTACACAGTGAGAGAAAAGTTTATTTCTAAACCCATCGGTCGAAAGAGGAAAAAACCGTACAAGAGGACGGCTCCAAAGACGAGCTCCGACTGGCAATCATTGACAGAGCTGATCTGGAAGGGAAAATTTGTAGTACTCATTGGTTGTTATTCGAAGAAAGTTTAAAGAAGGCAATTGTTTCGCGCACAGGAAACCATGGAGTTGGTCAGTGCCTTGGAATGCAAGGGCTTCAAAGTCATGAACTTTGGAGAACTTTGAAAAATGGCAAAACTGGCACCTGTCATTCTCCCAGAAAGCCCAAGCTAAAAAAGTGCTATCGGCGTGCCTTCCACCTCCAGAAGTTGAGGAGGAACTTATCCGACCATGACTCAGTAGGGCAAGTGCTGCGCATAGTGAAGTAAACCTGCATTGCTGCTAATATGCGATTGTTAAACTCCTGCCCTATCTAGATCTGAAGTGGTCAGGAATCCTATATTTACGAAAACAAGTTAAAAAGTATCAGTCGGTTTCGCTGGCAGATGTATACCCTCAGCCAATGTATACATATAAATATACAAGGAGAGATGAAAAAACTGCTACCAACTTCAGGCTGCTGTCATTTCTAAGCCACTCGTCTGACAGCTCTTAAAATTATTCCAGTGACAGCTCATTATTTCGTTTACAAGCGTACAAAAGCATTTTGGTGAGAATCGCATGAGAATAAATGCCAAATATTATCGCGAAAATATTGTGGAGGGTGTATTAATGCCCCGGGCACACAAACATGTTGGCCGCAGACCTTGGACATTCCAACATGACTCAGCACCATCACACTCAGCACGCGTCACTTAAAAATGGTTACGAAATGAGGTTCCTCGCTTCATTTTCAGCGCACAATGGCCACCAAAATCTCCGGATAACAATGCGTTGGACTATTGTGTCTGGAGTATTTTGGGAAGCAAGGTTGGCACTAAAAATCCCAAAGTGTCGATCACCTCAAGTAAGCGCTTTGCCGGGAATGGGCCAAAATACCGCAGAGCAACATTCGGGCAGCGTGTGACGGTTTCATTGGCACTTTGAAGGCCATAATTCATGCCAAAGATGACCAGTTCGAACAAATCTAATCTTATTCGAAAAGTTTATGCTATTTCCGACATTTTATGCTTTCATTCAATAAAATTTAAAAAAAATATAAAAATTTATGGCTTTTGACTTTGTTGCAGTTTTTTATCTCACCCTGTATTACTATCAATATCAAAGACTCTTACTCCAAATTTCAGATCTTCTATTCTTTCCGCAAATACCCAAGTAAATACTATTTGGTACTTTTCGTGCTTTTTAGTACGTAATTTTAAATTTCCCGCCATGGATCAACTAAACCTCACAAGAGGTGATCCTAATGCCAAATGTTAGACTTCCAACCCAAATACCAAATATTGTACCATTGAGTACTTTTTTTGTATATATTTACCCCAATACCAAATTTTTAAATTTTCAGATCAATCTTTCAACCAAAACCAAATTGTACTGAATTTAGTACCATTTAGTACAGCTGTTACACTTAGTATACATTTCCAAAAGCACCTACTTATATCAAACCCCTATTTTCAAAACTTAATTTTTATACCAAATGTTAAGATTTTAACTTTATCCTGTAGCTGTACCAAAAGGTGCGAAATTTAGTGCTTTTTAGTACTTTTAGTACACTTCTGGTCCGACTTTCCGAAAACTCAGCCTAACTGACATGCAAATTTACAAGATTCTAGCTTTAACCGATTCGCCTGGACGTTAATGTATCAGTCAGTCAGTCCCCATAAACCCGAAATCCACTTACCCGAATATCTTCAATTTTTTTCTATGCATCCTGAACTTCCATTTTTCATTTTCTGGTGAGGACTAAAGAAGTTTCGCGTTTTTAAAATTTTGAAAAAGATATCAACACTTTTTTGTGCACGCCAATGTCGAGCATAATGCAATCGGCGGAGAGTACATCAAACTTTACACTGGCCACAGAAGACACAAACCAATTGACCGACAAAGACATGCCAAAGACATGTTTGGCCCTCGCCAGCCAGTGCTGATCGGCCATGCAAGTCACACTCGCCGCCAAAGTCAACACTCAATGCGAGCACAGAAATTTAAAGTTGGGCAATCAGTGACGCAGTGGCAGTGGACAAGTGAAGTGATAGCTGGTTTGAGAAACGAAAAATTAAATTCAGCGAAAAAGAAAACAAAAAAGAAGTGATTTAAAAATAAATTCAAACCTTACGACGTATGGAAAAAAGGAAATTTTTGAAATTTTGAAAATGAAACATCCTATAATTACCCTCATCTTTATGGGATGTGTTCTTGTGGATATCTCCCAAAGTGCAGTGATCATAAAAAATCCCAAGCTAAATGATATTAGCAAAGGTGAAGATGGATTTTTGGAACTGCGTCCCAATGGCAATTTAATTTTGCGCAGCACATTGGAAAACTCCCCAAACACCCTACAGCAGGCACTACTCTTCCAGAGTATTTTGAATGCAATTCGTGCAGTACCTGGCAATACTCTCAACGAGTTGAATGTCAAAATCTATGGCGAAGGGGTGGAACATAAATTTCCACCATTTCTGGAGCGGGTCATTCAGCGAATACAGACGTATTTTTCGGTCTATAAATATACCGATACCACCGAACCGATGCGGGATAAATATAAACCCCTGAATGATTCACATTATGAAGAAATTGATGTGACATTGAGTAGTGACAATGTTGAGTTGGTTAAAAACAAAACCGGCAAACCATTGACGGAGACAACCGCCATGACGTCGGCAACGGCAGCAGTAGCAACAACAACGTCAGCAGCAGCACAAGCTTCAGTAACTACAATGGCAAGTGCAGCAACAACCTCGACAATCAGCAATGATAGGTTGACCACAACACCATTGCTGGATCAATCCGTCGTTGACGATGAAGAAAATGAATTTATCGAAATTAAAAAACTCAAAGAGTCCAAAAAGAAAATCATAAAAGAAAAACCAATTTAGAGTAGCTTTTACTTTTCCCATCGTTTTCTGTGGTTTCTTTTAAGAGTTTTTTTCTGTTTGATTTTTGTTGATTGATATTTTTATTTAAGTGATATTTATTTTCTTTGTTTTTATCAAATATACTATGAATGTGTGTATATACTGTCATATGAATTATATTTGTTAATAAGTAAATAAAAACTGAGATTATAACATGTATTTAATTAACGTTTATTAAACACAGCGATGGGCAACTTTGGGTCCGTTGAAAATTTTTTGTTGATAATCGCAGCATTGAGATCTTGAACTTGTGCAAATTTGGTTATCCATTATAGAGAAAGTGACATAAGGTTCCACGTTGAGGGGGTTATGACAGTTCAGTATAGAGCTACTGCAGAGAAAAGTCTTGAAAGCGAATTTCTTGACAAAAATAATTTTTGTATATTTTTTGACTATTTCCTTTTTAACTGAAAATTTAAAGCAAACATAAACACTTTCCAAAATTATAGGAAAACGGAAAATGTTATGAATGTAGAGCTAAACAAGTAAAGAAAAACATTAACAAATACCCTCCACCATTAGAGAAAAACAAGTAAAAAAGCTGTAAGTTCGGCCGGGCCGAACTTTGAATACCCTTCACCATTGGGAACGAATTAGGCAATTCTCAAATAAAATCCATTAAAAATTCTGTTAAAATCTTAGAAATACCGAATGTAGCTGTTATATAAGGGTCAATACGACGACATGGACCTGCATAGGTAACTT